CACCCCGCCACCAAGGGCTCACAGATCTGGCTGCTGCACCGTGCTTCACGGCGAGTTGGGCCAGCACCTTCTGAGATGGCATTGTCTTCAGTGCGGCTGGGCAAGGAGGTAGTGCTGCTCATGGAGCCCTGCTGGGACGGGGGCTTCATGTGGGCTTCACTGCCCTTGACCCCTCTCAGATGGTCTCCCAGGACCTGCCCCGCTTCACATGCCCATCCGTGGTGCAGCAGGGGCAGACGTGGGCTTCTCTCCAGGGGCCAGGTCTTCTTCAGCATCAATGATATGGGGAGGGACTCACTGCTGCTGGAAGGTATCCCAGTACGGTCCCTGCTCTGGGCCATCGTCGGTATCTACAGGCAGATTGCAGCTGTCCAGTCAGATGCGCTTAGAGGTCCCCTCAACAGAATCCAGTGAGGCTGGGCACGGCTGACCCACAATATCCTGAGCTTGGTGGGTGGGTACTGCTGTGACTGGATGGCTGGATCTTTTTGTGACCAGATGGCTGGAAGTATGGATCAATGGCTGCGTCCATCCTCTTGGAGATGGGTGGATGGAGGGAGGGAGAGAGGGATGGATGGATGGATCTGTGGGTGGGTGAATGACCAGATGCCCGTGTGACTGGAGGGCTGGCTTTTCTTGTGATTGGGTGGCTAGAAGCACGTTTCACAGGCTGGGCCAGTCTGTTGGGGATACGTGGACATGCATTGTGAAGGGAGACTTGGAGGGGGGGGGGAGGGGGGGTGTGGGCCAGACTTGGAGGGATGTGCTGTATGGGAAGGCTGGCTGGGTAGGTGGCCAGCTAGCTGTTCCATGTACCTGGCAACCCTTTAGCTCAGGGCAGGCAAAATACAGCCCATGGGCTGGATTCGGCCCACCAGGCCGTTCTATCTGACCCACAGGGCCCCTAAAAATTTAGTAAATTAATATTTATTTGTTTGTGGCTGCCTGTCAAAGATGACAAGAGTCAGCAAAAGTAGGACCCATGGGGAACCGGCAGGACCGAGCCGCCCTGCCCTGCCCAACACCCAGCCATTTTCCTGCCCCCACCCTCCTCCAGCACCACATGGCTCCCTGCTTCCCCTTCTCTCAGAGGCAGATTAAGGTATGCTGGGGCCCTAGACAAGCACAGAATTGGAGGCCCCCTCCCCCCATGCAGCCTGGGCTGCAGGAGGGGAAGAGGGGCCCCTTCCTAGTGCTGGTGAGGGAGGCTGGGTGAACCTCTTCTCCCTGATCCCCGCCCCTGCTACAGCCAAATGTGTGCACACACAGGCACAGAATCCGCCACTGGCCTCCTCACGTCTGGGAGTGGGGCCCCGCATAGACTGATTTGCCTCCTGCTTGGGTCATCTCTGAATCTAGCCCCCAAGGCTCTGCCAGTGCTGCTGCCTGCAAAGGCACAGTGCTGCGCTCCTGGCCCTGCTGCACCGCTCCCACTCGCCCCAGCCCGCCAGGTGGGGTACGGCTCTCCCAGCCCAGCTTGGCCCCCTTCCCCTCCCCCTCAGATGCGGCACAGCTCAGGTTGCTCCCCTCCCCCAGGCACAGTGCGGCTCTCCCGGCCGACCCCAGCCCCGTTGGTGGAGGGGCCCCACTTACAGCTCCTAGGGAAGCAAATGTGAAAGCCGCAGTTTTAAACCTAGCGCCAAAAATGAGCTCTGAGTTTAAAACTGACTTTCACTTCCATGATGATGAGGATCCCAAGGCTCCCCAAATTGGTAGGGGCCCCTGGGCTTGTGCCCAGCTGGCCCCTGCTCCCCTCCGTGCCCACTGCCTCCCCCTCCCTGCTGGCTGTTTTGGGGGGCACCACCAGTGTGATCCTCTCCTTTGGCTTCAAGCAGAGAGGTGGGGGAGCAAGCCCTGCTGCTTGGGTGGCTGGTGCTTGTTCCCTGTCCCCAAACTTCCCCAGCAGCAGCGCATACTTGGGCCTGTGTAGCCCAGCTGCCCAACCAATTGCCTCCCACTCTCGGTGGCACACGCGCAGTTGGGCTGGAGTGTTACGGACAGGCAGACTAACTAAACCCTTTATTATATTAGATTTAATAGAAATATTCTGAATGTATGCAGGTTATAAATATGTAAATACCACACGTATAAATATTATGAAAAATAACTTTAAACATTATATGAACATTTTGAATGTATCGATAAATATACAAATATTATGTGTATAAGCATTATGAAAGGCTAACTCTTTAACTAGTGTAATGTATGAGTATTCAAACAGTATAGATATGATACATTTGTACGTATTCTGTATTTAAACACTATGAAAGGTTAGCTCTTTGGATATTCCATGGAAACCGAATCCCTGAGCAGCCCTCTCTAGCCTATGGTGCATCTGGTGGGGGGCAGGTACAGGAGTGTAAATAGCTGGATGCTGGCAGGGCTGGGATTTAAAGGGGAGCAGAGGGGGAGGTGTGTCTCATGGAGTAGCAGTGGCCTCATCTGTGAATCCAAAAAGTTTTCCCTAGAAAAGCAGCTTTCTCTCCCTCTTGCTTGTGCCACAAAGCCCTGGTGGTAATGAGAGGAGGAAGTGTCTGCAGGGCTGTGAAGTAGAAAAGAGGCATGCCCAGGAGAGGCTGACTGATAGGACCCTGCCGTGCATTCAAATTAAACGTGGGTAGAAACCAGCTCTAGAGTCGTTACACATTTCCAAGTGCTAACTTTGCAGCTCTTTTCATAGCTGGAGAGTCATTTCTTATGTCACAATGACTTTGCGTACGTTTATTGCACGATTCACCAGTCACTGGTGCAATAATTGCATTGCACTTGCAGCCAGTCTTACTTTGCATGTGTGGCCAAGCTAAATTTATTGTGCACTTTGCCAGTTCATTGTATAATACATGTAGCACAGGCCATGGCACCATTACAGAAGAAAGGATTATTTGAATAGTGGAACCACTGAAAATGGGAGTGGGCTGTTAATACCTGACGGTGAGAAGGGGTGGAGATTACAAGGAAAAAGAAAGTGGATAATGAGCCAGGCTGACTGCCTGAACAGAAAGGCCGCTGATTCCCCCAGGCACTTGGCTTTAAAGTCTGGGTGGAGCAGGAATCAAAGGGGGACAATGACACCACTGAACACCTCCCCTGCAACCCACTCTTAGGGGTAAGAGTGTTGCAGCTGTGGCAACCCACAATTGCCCCCAAACCCAAATCTAAGCTGCGGCTTTGTCCCCTGGATAAAGGAGCAGTCAGACCTGGGCTGAGAACCAAAGCTAGAAAGGACAAGTGGAAAGTGGGGCTTTCGCTCATTCATTCAACAGATCAAGTCTCAGGCTTATATTGGGAGCCAAGCAACCTCTACACAGCACTTGACAAGCTGCAGCCTTCACTCTGGTCTTCACTGGGGGTGGGGTGCAAAAGGATACATGTGTACAAGTCCAAAGAAAAAGAGTAGCATTCAGTGGGAATCAGATCAGCCTCACTTGTCCAGCCGCCTCTGCTGCCCAGGCCATAGACTCCTAGATGCTAGGGTCAGAAGGGACATTGACAGATCGAGTCTGACCCCTTGCCAAAGCAGAAAAGAGTCCTGGGGTCAGATGACCCCAGCCAGATGCCAATCTAGCCATCTTTTAAAGACCCCCAAGGTAGGGGGGAGCACCACCTCCCTTGGAAGCCCAATCCAAATTTTGGCCACCCTCACCGTGAAGAAGTGTTTCCTGATATCTAGCCTAAATCTGTTTTCTGTCAGTGTGTGACCACTGTTCCTAGGTGCCCTGGTGAATAGAGCATCTCCAATCCCTTGCTGCATCCCCTAATGAATTTGTAGGTGGCTACAAGATCCCCTCTCAGCCTTCTCTTGCAGAGGCTGAAGAGGTCCAGGTCCGTCAGTCTTTCGTCATAGGGCTTGTCCTGTAAACCCCTAATCGTATGAGTGGCCCTCCTCTGGACCCTCTCAAGTCTATCAACAGCAGTACTCCAACTGTGGTCCGACCAACGCGGCATAGAGGGGAAGTATCACCTCCTTGGATCTATTTGTCATGCATCTGCTGCTGCATGATAAAATGTGGTCAGCTTTGCTGATGACTTTGTCACACTGACGACTCATGTTCATCTTGGAGTCCACTATGACTCCGAGATCCCTGTCCACGTCTGTGCTGCTGAAAGGGTCACTTCCCAGTCAGTAGGTGTGCTGGATATTTTTGTGCCCTAGGTGTAGCACTCTGCACTTGTCCTTCTTGTACTGCCCACTTTTCTAACCTGTCCAGGTCTGCCTGCAATCATTCCCTACCCTCTGGAGCGTGCACTTCACCCCACAATTTAGTATCATCTGCAAACTTGGACAGAGTACACTTCACACTCTCATCCAAGTCACTGATGAAGATATTGAAGAGTACAGATCCAAGGAACAAACCCTGCAGGACGCCACTACCCACAGCCTTCCAAGTCAATACTGACCCATCTACTACCACTCTGGGTGTGACCGCTAAGCCAGTTTGCCACCCACCAGACCGTGTAAACATCTATGTCACAGCCTCTTAATTTATTTATGAGAATGGGATGAGATACCATATCAAAGGCCTTGCTAAAATCCAAGAAAATTAAATCCACCTCTACTCCTGTCTCTAAGTATTTTGTGACCCTGTCATAAAACAAAACCAGATTGGTCAGGCATGATCTACCTGCTATGAATCCATGCTGGTTTCCCTGCTGCATTATTTTTTCCTTTGGACTCACACAAATATGATTCTTCATAATCTTTTCAAAGACCTTTCCAAGGATGGAGGTGAGACTGACTAGCCAATAATTACTCAGATCCTCCTTCCTGCCCTTCTTGAAAATACAGACCACATTGGCCCTTTTCCAATCCTCCGGGACCTGACCTGAGCTCCACGAGAGCTCAAACAGCCGTGCCAGCAGTTCTACTATGACACCGGCCAATTCCTTCAGTACTCAGATGAAGCTCATCCGGGCCTGCTGACTTAAACACATCCAGTCCATCCAAGTGACTGCACCAAGTCAGCATCGACAGTTTGTCGGCTGGGGTCCCTCTGATGCCCATTTAAGAACCCATTAGGAGACTTATCTTGAGCCCTGTTCAGGAACACCAAGGCAAAAAAAACTCATTGAGTAGCTCAGCTTTGTCACGCATTGCTCCTTCTTGTTCAGTAGGGGTCCTATGCTGCCCCGCACCTTCCTTTTACTCCCAGTTTGATTTCTGCTGCTTTGAGAAACTCCGAGTCATCTGAGGAAATCCATTTCACTGTGGAAGGCCTTTAAAATAAAAGCCTTGATCATTTCCATTTTGAAGCCCTGTTATGTGGAGAGTTGGCTCTCTTTCCAAGGGATGGCTTGATTTTTGCCATGAATGCGGCTCAGCCAGCATTAGAAGCTTTGCACATGAGCAACAAATCCAAGGCAAGAAGCGAACACAGTGACACCTTGAAATAAAGCAGCAGCAATGGGATTTCTGGTGAGAGGTTTGGCCTCCGGAGCTGTATCAGGCTTCCCTGCAGTGGGGCAAAAAGTCAATAGGGTTAAGAGAACCACAAGGGGCTGGGGGAGGGCGGTATTTTGAAAGGTAAGGGTGTCTCTGAACAGCCTTGCAGGATTAGCACATCCTGAAATGCTATCAGGTGCTTCAGGTGTCCTTGCAGGTACAGACCCTCCCGCCTGCATCCCTGCAGCCCCTGGGCATTGCCAGCCTGAGAGCTCCCCCTGGCAATGGAAAGGTGAAATACAAGGAACTTGCATGTGCTAGAGATTCAGGACCCAGGAGGTTAAAGGTGTTGGGGCACCTGTCTAGGGGCATTAGGCACATGGGTTTATAAGGACCAGGGTCTCTCAGGGTTGGTTTTCCATACCACCCTTCCCCAGAAAATAATAAGAATGTAATTTAAGGTTCTAATAATCAGGGAAGGGGGGGTTGTCTTATATTCAGGGGTGTCTTGGCTTCAGGTAAATACAGTAGGTAGTTCCCTGGGTGTTTCTTACCTCCTGGCTCCGCCCCTAAATAAATTATTTCCCATCAAGTGAAATCTGCTGGTTATCTGAGCTGAGCCACCGGCTCTTCTGACTGGCCTCTGGGCCATCTTGGCAGAGACCTCTCTGCTGTATACTTGCAATTATTTTGGCTTACCTGTATCAGCTTGACCCAGTACCATCATCAAGGTTTCCAGTAATTAAAGACTCCCGTGTGAACACAGCTGGAAGAAGTAGGGACTTGGAAGGACCCTGCACTAAATGGTCCAGCTTGTATATCTGCCAATGCTAAGCCTGTCAGTTGTGTCAGTTAGGCTTTGAGCTGAGAAGGATCTGACCGATCACACACACATGCCTGGGCCCTGAAAAGCTGATGGCACCTGTCCCACAAGTCCCAGATCCATAAGAAGCAACAGGGTTTGGAGAAACAGCTGCCCCCTGGAAAGCCCAGGCAGGAACAACCCCTCATACTTGTGCCATAGTTGCATATTAATGAGATGCATAAGCATATACATTTATTAGGCAGCATATTTATAGAATTTATAGCACACACTGATTACACCATTGTGACACATTTACAAGCTGTCGCATATTTACATATTTAAAACATTTCCTCTTTACATCCTCTTCACATATTCACCCTCTCCAAAAAAAAAAACAACACAGGCACCTTCTGCTGGAAGGGGAGAATGAAGAGGGGAAAAGACTTGCCCTTTTATAGAAACTGCCCAGGAGGTTTATTAACCTCATTAATCATGCTAGCATGATTATCATCCCTCCCTACTAGGGAAAAGGATGCACATTGTATATGAAACAATACAGTAGTTACAGTTATGTTATCATAATACTGTAATACCATACCATACTCATGCCCTTTACATATCTATCACACTTAAGAGCACCCTAATATATCTACAGATGCATAAATACATGTACATTTGCATAAATTGATGCTTCTTTGCATACTGGACATCTCCACATGCCTATCAGCCCTCAGTCCATGGCTGGTTCTGTACCAGGGAGCATTGCTCCCTCTCAGCTGGGCACAGACACTGGGGCCATCTCAGACCCAGCCTTTGGGTTCATCAGAGCTGATATGATGTCACTGCATCCCCATCAGCACCAAGCATGGCCTCTTCAGGGGTCTCCCAGGCACTCTCAAAACCCTCAGAGGATTGGGGCCTGCAGGTCTGTCCTCCACAGGCTAACCCTCACCACATCCTTGATGTCTCGCCGGCAGATGGGACACCGGTTGTCAGTGGCTAGCATTCTCCGGACGCAGCAGTGGCAGCAGTCAGTATGGCCACAGGGATACAGCAGAGTGTTGGCCACATGTGCGTAGCAGATGGTGCACTTCTCCATGCTGGGCCTGGGCAGGTGGCAGCGATCCCTGTGTGCTGGCTCTGCAGGGAACAGGAGCCATCAGCACAGCCCAGGGCAGGCTTGTGTTGCCCCAGGATTCCCCCCACCCCCTCCCCATGCTAGTGACTCAGGGAATGTGCCCTTCCAGCCTGGCAGGGTGAAGGCTGGCTGTGCTCAGTCAGGCCCAGCCTGCAAGCCCCTGCTTCTGTTCTGCTAGCCTGGGTCTTTGTGACGCCTCAGAAAGTTGGGGGCTGAGGGGTGGTTTCTTCCCCAGGCCCCATGTCATAAGAGCAGAGGAGCTAGAGGGTCCACGAGTGCATGGAACAGCCACCCAGCCTTCCCATAGAGCACATCCCTCCAACCCTCCCTTCAGCCTTCCCCACACAGGTCCTCTTATCTGACAGGGCTGATGCCAGCCATACTGGACATAAGTGGAAGTGAGTTTGAGCATCACTGCTTTGGAGGCCTGTGTGTGCCAGGAGACCCCCATGCAGCATACCCCCACCCCCCAGAGACGACAGCTTCCGGGGCTGGAAGGCATCAGCCAATGTAGGCCATGTAGACACCCTACCTAGCACCCAGAACTGTGTCAAGGTCCTGGCAGCCATCTCTGGGGAAACCACCCTCCCTGTGCCACTGTGGGGTCTTACACATGACCTGTAACATGCTTCCCCCTTCACCAAGGCTGTAAAGAGGCCAAGTGTTGGCTCCTGACACTCACCATCCAGGAAGAAGGAACAGGGCAGCTCAGGGGGGAGCTCCTGGAGGTCTCCATACTGATCTAGAAAAGGGGAAACCCCAGCTGAGGATGTTGCTGAGAGTCAGTCTGCAGAGTCTTCCTCTGCTGGGACATCATCTAGCCGGACCCCCAAGGTGGGCACGCATTGCCCCCAGCACCACTCTTCAGGGAGTCAGACCCTATAGGCAAAGCCTGGACCACCCAGATGAAGCCCCTGCTCCCAGCCCAAGTCTCAAGGCTATGTCAGAGGAGAACCAACTTCCTGAGATATGTCCTGCCCCTAACACAAGCCCAGACTCACCCAGCAGCTGGACAGCCTTGGTCTGGCCATAAACATCGATGACAGCCCAGAGCGGGCCCTGAACTGGCACGCCTTTGAGGAGTAACCTGTGGTGCTCGTTGTTGATGCCAAAGAAGACTCGGCCCCTGTGGTCCAGCCAGAAGCGGACAATGGTGCCTTGCTCCTCACAGGCATTTGGCAGAAGGGATGCCCATGTCCGCCCCTGCAGCACCAGAGATGGGCAGGCAAAGCGGGGCAGGTGCTTAGGGATCATTTGCGAGGGGTCCAGGCTAGTGAAGCCAACCCGGAGCCCCCCGTCCCAGCGGGGCTGCGTGCGCAGCACCCGCAGCACCACCTTCTCGCCCAGCTGCACAGGCCGGTTGCTGAAGACGATGCCATCACAGAAGGTGTCAGCCCTGCTCGCTGTGCGGTGTGCTGCATCCAGCTGGATCTGGAAGCCCTTGGTGGTAGGGTGGAAGCAGAGGGGCTGTGATGCCTCCCTGAGCTTGTCCAGGCCTGTGGGAGATGCCATAAGCAGGAGTGAGACCCTGGCCTTGGCTGGAGGGGATCTGATCCCTTCACACCCTGTGTTGGTCAGGGGACTCTGGCTGCCTGGACCCAACACAGGACAGCAGCTGGACTCCTCCATCAAGGGCAGGAGGGAGAGGGCAGCATTTCCAGCCTCCTGGCTTCTTAACCTGCCAGGAGCAGACCGGAGGGGGGAAGCCCCAGAGGGAGATTCTGCCCTGGCCCCCTTCCCCAGAGACAGGAAGCTGGTATGCCTGCAGAGGGCATAGCCTGAACAGCCCCTTGGTTTGTGCAACTCCAGCAGGAAGTTTCCTCAGGCTCAGACTGAAAACGAAAGAGCCCAGGAGGGGTGTGAACGGGTATGAGCAGGAGCGCAGCTGCCTGCCCTCCCTTGAAAGACCAAACAGAGGCTGAGGCTCATGGCTGGATGCTGCCGGCTTGGTGCCTCTAGAGGCTGGGAAAACCCCACTCCTGGCTAGGGATGGAGCCTTATCCTGCTCCAGCTGTCATCTTCCCACACAGAGCCAAAAGCCAGAGGTGATGGGCTCTGGCAAGACTGTGAAAGCAAGGGAGTGAGACCCCAACTTCCCTGATCTTCCCTGGATGCTGCTGGGGGCCAGAGAAGCCCTGGGGCTGTAGTGAGCCCCAGCCCAGCAGCCTCATTCCCTGAGCCTTTCCACAGGGGGGCCCCATCAACTGCCCAGCCTTGCCCTGGCAGCCAAGGAGCCTCCCAGCCCCTGGAGGCTGGGAGCCTGAGCTGCCCCGATCAGCCCAGGGCTGATCAGGCTCTTGGCTCTAGCTTCGGCTCCAGCCCCAAACTATGCGTGACCAGAGATGTGATAGAGGCCCACAGAGGAGCCAGGACTCTCCCCAGTGCCAACAAGGGCAGAAAGGGCAGTGCTGGGGCCGGGGACCCCATTTGGGGCACCAGCATGAGCTCACCATGCTGCAGCAAGCATGTGCAGGTGGCACCAAGTCCAACATGCTGTGACCCTGGCACCAGAGAGCTCCCCGTCTCCTTACCATTCAGAGAGCTTTTGCAGGATCCCATCACAGCTGTTTTCACTTTCTCCACACCTGGTGAGGAACAGAGCTGGCACCTGTGTTGTGCTGGCCCCACGTGAGCCCTGTTGCTTCTTATAGCAGCCCCTGTGTGGGCGTGAGCCTTTGCTCCCTCCTCCAGCACGCAGGCAGTGATGCCTCCTGGGCTGCAGACTGGGGATTTCCAATACTCTGCCACAGCCTCCCCCGTCAAGCTCAAACCCCTCCAAGGGGGCTGGAACTTCCACATAAGGGCTCCAGGTATAAGTGATGGGGCCAGGAAGCCTCTTAGGTGGCAACTGTGGTGGGTTCAGAGCAAGCAGCATAGCCAGCAGAAAGTGGGATACCACCTGGGCTTGCTGCCCCCCCCCCCAAGGTCTCCCAGTGAAAGTGAAAGCAGATGGAAAGCACAGATTAACTATTAAGGGCTGTTTTTATGCCAGTGAGTGCAGCCATATCTCATGCACTACATCTCGTGTATCATCTTTGTCCTTTTTAAAGCCTTTCTCAGAGGCACTGGGTGTTTGGCTGCAGCCCAGGCTGGGGATGGGGCCTGGGGTGTACAAATGCTCCTGCTAGGACCAAAGCTGGAGGGTCTTGGCTTGAGGGTCTTACCCCTCCACTCAGGCTCAAACAGATACTGCATTAGGGCCAGGAAGGAATTTGACCCCCTGGTCAGATTGGTATGGGCTGCAGGGCTTTTGCCTTCCTCTGCAGCAGGGGCACAGCCTCTATCTGGGATCAGGGCTGATCAGGGGGTTGGACTCCATGTGACCTCCACAGGTCCCTTCTAGCCCCATGGCTCTATGATAACCACCCACCCCAGTCCAACCCCACCAAAGAGCCCCATTGCCTGTTTTCCTTCAGTTTCCCATGAGCATCCTAAGTGCCACCCTCCCCCTCCTCCACAGTCCTCTGGGATCCAGGTGCTATTTCCAGAGGTGTAGGAAGGGAGCCGGGGGATGAAGGCAGTTCTATAGCAGCAGCATTTAAGTCCTGAGCAGGAGGAAGGAAAGAGAACCCCCACCTCTACTGAAATTCAGACCAAAAAAACCCCATTGAGACAAGGTCCCACTATGAACAGGACATGCCAGGGCTGGTATAGGTGTTCCCAAGGAGGCCAGCTCTTTGCAGAAGACATGAGATAAGTACCAGAGCAATGTTGTTGTATGCCTGTCCCCGCCATGGCAGCTGGCAGGATCAAAGCTAATCACTTGTTTCCCGAGATCTTATCAAGGAGCTTGTGGTAAGAGGGAAGCTGCCCCCTCACCTCTAGCATCTGATGAAGTCAGTTGTTGCCTTCTTGGCCCCTGATCCAGTTAGCTCAGCAAGTTGCCAAATGTAGGGATATAGCACACAGCGCTCTCAGCCAGTTAGTCCAAGGTGGCTCTCAACCTTGTTAGGCTCCAGGCTACCTCCCCTTACAGAAGGTCAGCTCCTTGTTTTTACTCATTTCTGGACTAAGGAGAAATAATTGGGTAATTCTTCAATGGAAAAGATGTTTACAAAAAGCCTGGCTACTACAAGCAGCCTCCATCAGTGTTTTATTGCACTGGTATCACTCACACGAGATAGTAGGGTTTGAAGGTCTAGGTTTGCCCAGGTTAAATCAGAAGAGGTGGCTGATAGTTAATCCATTCCAATTGCCTCACTGGGCAAGGATGCAGGAGATAAGGAGTTTAAGAAAACAAACTGGGGCTCTGCAGCATTTGCATGCATAGAATATTTAAAGTGCAGCCAGGTTGGCTGGGTGCTTGCGGGGGTCACATCCAGCCCTGCCCCTTTTTCTAGCCAGGATCAAGCCCTTCCAAACCCTCCCAGACACATCTTTGTCCGAATTGTTCCTAGCACCACACACCAGCCACAAGCATAGCAGCCAGGTCGAGACACTTGAGAGCCCCTGGCCCTGCACCAAGTGACATTGGGGGATGAGGCCTGGCAGTGCCCTGCTGCTGCCAAGGGGTTAAATGCACTGGAGACCCCAGGCAGAGGCTGTGCCCCTGCTGCAGAGGAAGGCAAAAAGCCCCCAGTCTGTGTCCATCTGGCTCTGTATTGCATCAAGTTGTAGGAGACCCAAAGTCCTGAGCCAATCTCCAAACACCAGGAGACAGTTTAACCTCTTCAGGTACCCTAACTCCCTCCTGGTTCTAGGCCCTTCAGGGTGCTGCACGGGGTCCAAGTGACCACTGGGATTCTCACAGCAATCTAGGTGTCTGGGAGCTGTGGCCTGGGAAAGAAACTACCAGCTGCTGCCCAAGCCTCAAACCGTGAGAGCTGTTGGGCTGGAGCAAGCACAAACTCACTGGTCCTAAAGTCCCCAATAACCAGCATGCATCGTTCTATTCTGGTTAGGGCTGTAGATAATGTTAAAGTCTCAGGCTAAGGAGACGTATAGTGCTGAAAGTGCACAGGCCTGGAGAAGCTGAGGGCACCCAGCCCTGAAGCCCCAGACCCAATTACCTCCAGAAATGTAATACATCTCATCCAATGCACCAGATGCCCTGATGGAAAATACGTAGGAGAGACCAAACAACAACTGCACACCAGAATGAATGCACACCGGAAATCTATCAAAGACAGGAATACCCAATTACCTGTGGGGGCATTTCTCACAAGAAAACCACTCTCTCTCCAATCTCTCAGTCCTGATCCTCAAAGGAAACTTATAAACCACTTCCCAGAGATGAGCCTACAAACTCCACTTCATCAACCTCCTGAATACTAAAAATCATGGACTAAATATAGACATTGGATTTATGACACATTATACCTGCCTGACATCTGACTCCCCAGGCATCTCTCCACTTTCATCCCCCTTCTCTCTCTCTTCCCCCCCCACACCTGTCTCTCACCCATTGACTCCTCAATCTACATTTTCACTGACTACCTGTCTTGTCTGCACACCAGCCCAGCCGCTGGCTGCTTTACTTTTCATTCCATCCAGAAAGACCACACACCAACTGCTGAAACTTCCTTAGCCTGACGAAGGGTTTTTGAACCCGAAAGCTTGCTTAATAACTATTCTCCAACCATTTGGGTTGGTCTAATAAAAGATATCAGACTCATCCAAGGAACCTTGTCTGCCTATGTTCTTAGATCAACACAGCTACAACCTACACCCCAGATCCAATTACTGCACCCAGGCACAGGGCAGGGAAGAAGCCCCAGCACAACTGCCATCAGGCAACACAAGGTATCTTGATGCCAGGATTGGGATCAAGGCAGAGGGTAGTTAGAAGGGAGCAGGTAGAGTGAGGGAAGCCCAGAGCAGATGAATTATGCATTCTCCCATGCACAGAGAGCCCGACTTGCCTACAATTTTAGGTGTGGACAGGCACAAAACTCTGCACCTGAGACGGAATAATTGCATGTACCAACAGATTGGGGAACTAGTCAGGCTGCAGAGAAGGACCTGAGGGTTATGGTGAACCATGAGCCAAATATGAGCCAACCCAGCAAAATGGGCTACATTAACAGCTGGGTCACTTGCAAGTCAAGGGCAGCAATTCTTCTACTTGACTCAGGACTGGCAAGGCCTCAACTGGACTCCTGAGTTGAGGTCTGGGCCCCGCACTTTATGGGCATGGACAGACAGCAAAGAATCTGGCAGAGAGCAACAAATGATAGGCAGCTGGGAAGCAGGACTGATGAGGACAGGCTGGAAGAGCTAGGGCCACTGATTCTGGGGAAGAAAAGACTGAGGGGCAGGCGGGAGAAATGTAATCCCAGCCTTCAAATATCTGGAGGGTAATTATAAAGGCAGAGTTGGGCTTATTTTTGTGGCTACAGAGAACCAATCTAGGAGCAAGGGCCTCAAGCTGCAGCAGGGGAAGTTGAGGCTAGAGCTGAGGAGGAGCTTCCTGAGTGGGGTCCAGCATTGGAAGAGGCTGCCTAAAGAGGTGGGCAGTCTCCATTCCTGGAAGTTTTCAAGAGCAGATTGGACAGTGTGGTTTAGTCAGGACAGATCAGGTAACTGCCAATAACCCTGCCAGCCTGACTCCTACAGTCAAATGCTTTCAAGATCAGTAAATGAGTCACTCTGGGTTCTCAGAAGGAAATTAAAGCAATAATCTTCAATAGCACTTGTTGTGATTCCCATAACCTGTAATAAAAGATCAAAGACTGATAAAAGGCAGGGCAGGGGAAGAAATGGGCACAGTACGGGGGACAGCAAGATTCCCAGAAACTGAATGCAAAATGAAACCAGAGTCTAGAAGGACTGTAAGCCTAGAAGATAAGGCCATAGGCAACAGCCAACAGATCAGCACAAACAAGCTATGTGAAGCTAACTTAACCTCCTTCTGCAGCAGGGCTATGAGCCTTAGTGACAGGGGAAGCGATGCATCTGGACAAGTCACCAGGTCCTTGACAGTCCTACACAATGGTCTCTTCAGCAGACAGAGGAGAAACAACCCCCGAGAGGAATAGCTCCCAACCTTCCTAGGCTCCAGGTTTGCCTTATTAAACCCACAGCCTCCCTCAAACTCAAGGACCTCTATGATCACAGGAACCGGATGCGGCTGCTGGACACGTGGTACTGGGGCAGCAAGCTGTGCGAATTGGGACCAGGAGCAGGGTGCAGGAAGCAAGGAGTGGGGGCAAAAAGGAGGGCTGGCAGCACTTAGGAGGTGGCAAGAAGGCCCCAAGCACACAAGATCAGGGGGACAGTTGGACTTTGCCATGCTTCTTCCCCAGGGGCAACGGAGGCTGCAGGCAAGAAACCCCAGCAGTTCCAAGCCCACGTCCCTGCAAAGGCCCAAGTTGCATTCACCTACAAGGAGCTAGCTGCCCTCCAACAGGAGGAGGTTGCCTCTGCTGCTTGCTCAGCAGTACTTAGCGCCAGGACACCTTGGCTGCAGGGCTGATAAGCTGCTCTGGGGCTGGGCCCAGAGCCAACCTATTTCCCAGCAGCACAAAACTGAAACCCTGGAGCTGGCACTGAGCCTGCAAGAGCTGTTTGCCCACCTGTCTGCAGGCTGGGGCCTGGCAGCATAAGCACTAGACACTACAAGGGGCTCCATGCATTCGTCTGAGGGCAAAGCTCCAGCCCCTTCTCTCATGAGGTGAGGAGATGCCACAGCATCCCTCTGGGCCTGGGCTTAGACACTAGGCAAGACACTCACAGGCAGCCCAGGACTACTGCCTGCCAAGGGGATAGCCCACGGAATGGACCCTGGGAACTTGGTGGTGGCAAGATCCTGGCACCAGGTACTGAGCAGAGCCTGCTGGACATTTCAGCACAAGCCAAGTACTACAGCAGGAAGTGTTCACATGGACTCAGCCTTTGCAATTTTCTGGTGCCAAGATACTGGGTAGAAAGTACCAATCTCCCCCAAAGGAAAGGGCTCAGACCCCAGCTGTGCCCCAATGGCAGTGGGGCTTAGCTGGTTCCCTGGCACATGTGTGTTTGGGTCTCAAACCAAGTTGACTCAGCTGATGTAGCAATTAGCCCAGGAGAGCCTGGATCCAACCCCCCTCACCAACCTGCAGCTCAGGCTGGGTTTTGCTGCCAATGAGCCTCACGGGGGCGGGGAAGCTTGCATCAGGCTGCAGGGTCCTGAGTGCACCATGCCTTGCAAGTCCATCCGCCACATCCTCTTGACCTTGCAGCCTGGGCCAGGCTGTAAACCCTTCTTTTCCAATGCTGTCAGCAAGTGGAGGCAGCTGCCAGAGCCCTGGGGAAGACCCCACACAGGATGGGAGCACCTGCATCAGTGGCCTAGGGCAGATACAAGATGGAGCCCATGGCCCTGCCAGTGAAGTGGAACAAGGAGCTGGGCATGGGGGAACAAGGGGGTGGGGGCACAACAGGCAAGAACTCCTAGGTAAGAACCACTGCTGTGGGCTCCCAGGCACAGCATGCATCACCATTACAACCATTTATTTCAAGGCAGGGCTATACAAGAGGACCACTGTATCTTATGGGTGAAACAGGCAAAAGGTGCTAATTACAAGAGACTTAAATTACAAGGAAGGGTGGGGTTATATACAGGAAGCCACTGCTGTGCTTTCACAGAGCAGGTGGCAGCACCTCCAAGGGGGTTGTTACTGCTGCAGCCAGGATACCAAGAGGCTCTGTGGAGGATTAATTTGTGGGATTCTAGTCCCCATTCTACTGCAGGGGCTCCAGGCTCTCCTTTCCAGGCTCCCCCTGCCCCCTCAATAAAGCAGATTAAGGGATGCCTACTGTGTGCAAGTGGGGTCTGGAGACCCCCAGGACTTAACAGGCTGGATAATGCAAGTGAAGTAGCAGATGACAGGTGGGAGAGGCTGCAGCACCCCTGTGCTCACCCTAACCCAGGGCCCCATGAAGCTCAGAAGCCCGTGGGATCCACCAAGAGAAGAGACGACACGTAGAAATGAAGAGCCACCATTGCACAATAGCCAAGTTCCTGTGCTGGGTGGGGGATGAGGAGGGGGATGGTGGCTCCTCTCCCAGCAGCACTGCCATCTCACTGCCCTTGCTGGATGAGGACATCGGACAGGTCCTCCACGCCCTGTAGTCTCAGGTTCTGAAAGACAAGAGAAAGCTGTGAGCTCTTGCCCCCAGCTCCCACTAAGCTGGACCCATTTCCTGGTGTGACCTGGAAGACCTGAGTGTGTCAGGGAGAAAACTATTAGCTGCCCGACATGCAGGAGGGACATTTCAAAGAGCTCATGAGTCAAGTTTGACCTGGCATGGGCCCAGTGCAGTCACAGCCATTCCCAGTCCACAGTGCTGCTTCCACAGCAAAGCCCACTGAGATTTGCTTGGAGGGTCAGGAGCCTGGCTGGGCAGTGCTTGCCTTTGGTCTATCTCCCCTCTCAGTTTTCCCCTCTAGCCTGGCCCAGCAACAGTGGAACAGCTGTGAGCAGAGCACAGCGACCATATCACCAGCAATCGGGACAGAGCTGGACACGATAAAAAGGCTCTAGAGCTGTGGGGGTTTCTGTACTCCCTGCCCCATTGGCTGCTCTGCTTTATGCTCGCTCCCTCATTTGCTGTGTGCCACATGCATCTCTCCATACCATGCCCCAGCTTGCCCCATGGGCCAACACCCCTGCTCTAAAAGGCATTCCCAGCAGCGTTTAATGCTATGCCATGAAAGCTGCCCAAGCAGCAGGGGGAAAGCACACAGGAGAGGCTTTAGGAGATGACATCTGTCCGCCTCCATCCCACCCCTCCATGGTCTGAGACAGCCTGAGCAACACTTGTACTTTCCTTGTGGATCAGGTCCTAAGCTGAAGCAGCCACATTTGTGCCCAGATCTTGGGAGCAGAGACCACTCCCACTCCTCTCCCTGCAGCCACCAGGGGACATGGAAGTTGCTATACTCACCTTCTCATTGGCCAAATGCAGGAGGCAGGAGAAAGCCAGAGGGATGGAGAGGTTCTGTGCCATCATGGAAGGCAACCTATATTCCAAAGTGCGGTGGAGAGGGTTAGCTGGCAGCTGGAGCCACAGCAGGGGAGTCCATCCTGCTTGGCAGGTCCCAGCCCAGTTCCAGCCAGTCTGAGGCTGCTCCCCTCATAAGAGGCACAGCCTCACTCCCCTGCAAGCCAGCCCATAGAGTACCAGGGTGGAAAGGATCTCCATCTAGGAGAAACAGGGGTTCCCTTAGGAAAATGCCCAGGATCCAGCCAGCTGTCTTCAAGGAAGCAAACTAGACAGCAACTCTGGCCCTGGTTATTTATCCACATTGAGCAAGTGCAGCTCTGAAGTTCAAAACCCCTCCACGTTACGTTTATGCCACAACGCACTTGTAACTGCACCGCAAATAGGGAAGGTGGTGCACTATTGTAGGGACCGTGAAATGGGCAACAGTGCCTCACATACCTGCACGGCAGCTCCTTTGTGAGGTTACTCAGCACCTTCTCGCCCGTTACCACTGCCGCTACCTCTTCCTCCACGTCTTTGTTCTGCTCAGAGAGAAAGACGACAAGGCAGTGCTCAGACACTCAGCTCCATTATCACCATACACCACAAGCACTCGCGCAGCACCTCAGAGTGCTGTTTTGGCAGACAGTGGCAAGCAAAAAATCATCACTGGGGAAACAGCTTTTTCCTGACCCAGCCCTGCCTGGTGTCCACTAGGTGGGGAATGGACACAGCTCTTTCTAAAAGAGGGTCCTCGGGCCCGCACTGTTCAACATCTTCATCAGTGACTTGGACAAGGGGCTGAAAAGCCCCTTGTTCAAATTCACAGATAACACTAAGATGTGGGGAGAGGTGGGCACACTAGAAAGGAGGGACAGGCTGCAATTGGATCTGGACAGGTTACAGTGGTGGGCAGATGAGAACAAGATGGGATTCAGTTACTGACTGTCAGTATTCAATTTCTCCTAGGGAGAAAGAACCAGCAGCATGCCTACAGGCTGGGGAACTCCCTTCTTGTCAGCATAGAGGCAGAAAAGGATCTTGGAGTCTATATAATGACTCCAAGGTGAACATGGGCCGCCAATGTGGGGATGCAGTCAGGAAGGCTAACCACACCTTGTCATGCATCCACAGATGCATCACAAGCAAGTCCAAAGAGGTGACCCTCCCCCTCTATGCGACACTGGTCGGGCTGCAGTTGGAGTACTGAGTCCAATTCTGGGCACCACACTTCAGGAGGGACGTGGATAACATGGAGAGGGTCCAGAGAGGATGGGGGGCGGCAGGGCAGGCCCTACGGGGAGAGGCTACGAGACCTGAACCTGTTCAGCCTCCACAAGAGAAGGCCGAGAGGGGATCTGGTGGCCATCTATAAAATGGCAGACCAGCAGGCAATGGGAGAGTCCCCGTTCGCCAGAGCACTACTGGGAGTAACAAGGAATAACGGCCATAAGTTGACAGAGAATAGATTCAGGCTAGATATCAGGAGGCACTACTTCATAGTCAGGGCGGCTAGGATCTGGAACTAACTTCCAAAGGGAAGTGGTGCTTGCTCCTACCCCAAGGGTCTTCAAAAGAAGGCTGGATGAACACCTTACCAGGGTCATTTGACCCCAGCACTCTTTCGTTTGCCCCCAGCTTTCTTCCCTGCCATGACAGGGGGTCGGACTTGATGATCTGCTCAGGTCCCTTCCGACCCTACCAACTATGAAAAGGAGCATCTCCTCTCAAAGAGCCACAGGCATTATCCACAACCTCATCCAGGCTTTGGTAAAGCAGGAGACCAAATCGGCACCCCGAGCGGTCCTTGAAGCTCTTAGGCATTTATACACATAGGAAATTCAGTGCAGGCTTAGAGCAGGCTTGATTAACCAAGTCTGCTGAGCATGCAAGCCGAAGTGCCCGGCGCTGCATCACATGCATTCATCTAAGTGGCAAAACACACATCAGTGCTGAGAAAATGGTGGCAGTGCACTTTTGAACATCGAAGGTGCATTGTGCCAATGTGCATTTCACCATTTATACAAATGCATGCACTGCAGCACCGGGTGCTTTTAAAAGCGCCTGGTGCTGTGGCGCATGCATGTGTAAAAATGCCCCTTATGTCTACAATGGATTGCCCCAAAACAGGCCAATCTATACCAGAGGGAAGGGGAGCAGGTACCACGTGGGGCTTGAGAAGGTTGCATGTGCTGGTGAGACTCCTCAGTGTGGCCATGCAGGGGATAGACAGGGCTCCCACGTTACCATGTGGCAGGGGCAGCCTGACAAGGGGCCAGCATTTTTTATTGTACCTACCTCTGCCAGCACTTGCTTCTGCTTAGCTTCAGTCAGGAGGTCCCACATGGTCTGCTTGAGTTTCTTCATGTCCATCTTCTTGGCCATCTTGGCATACCGAATCTCAATCTTGTTGACCTGAGGGCAGACATGCTGGGCTAGGGTGGAGCAGAGGCCCCAGTCAGAGGTGGAGAGTTGGGGGGTAGGGGAAGCAGACATCTGAACACCTTCCTGGACTGACTCCAAGCTACCCTGTGCCTAGTCTCACCTTCTTAGGCTCTGTGACCAGGTTGGACTCCCCGTAGGTCGTGATGTCAGCCCTGTTGGCATCAATCCCTTGACTGAAGCCCCGGGCAGTGTTGGCAGTTAGCTCGAAGTCCCCAGTCTGACCCCCAAAGTCTGCAGGGTCATCGTCATCATCATCACTGTTGGCACACTGAGCACAAGGCAAAACACAACATGGTGAGGGCACGCATAGACGTGAGCCGAGCTGAGGGAGATTGTGTCCTCCCACCCAAGTGGGGTGTTCTCCCCACATGCCCAAACCAAGCCCTTGAACCAGAGTAAGAGGGACACATTTGTCCAGGGGGCTTGGAAATGCAGAGGGATCTTGTATCTTTGCCTGGCAAAGAAGCTAACAGACCCCCTTTGTGTACATCAATGTGTCTGTCTGCAGCCTCTCCTGCAAGCATGAGCAAGTGACTTCATGGAGACCCAACTACCATATTTTCCCCACGTATAATAGGCAGGAAAGAACTTTTAATTCTGCCTTTCTGTATATTATATTCCAGAACACGTGAGGAAACAAGGTACCCGGAGCAAGACAAACAGGAAAGACATCAAACAGGCAAAGGCAAGGGTGAAGGAAGGCATTCAGAGCTGGATGGAATTCATGGACAACCACTAGCCATAGCCAAAGCTGGAGAGACGCAGGCTCGTGACAGGAGGGGTCTGCCAGAGCCTGGAAGAAAGTCCATGACGTTTTCAGAGACCAAAACAGGTCACTTTACTGGCAACCCAAAATGCATGGGAAGCCAGAAGAAAGACCTGCTTGAGGTATAGCTGTGTGAAAGGGAGCAGAAGGTTTGTCACAGGCAAAGAGGAATAAGCATGGAACAGTGTCTTAGCAGAGGTGGCCATTGAAGCTGAGAAGCTCAGAGTCAGCCTGACCTCAATATTATTGGAGCAGAGAGAAAGTATACTGTCTGAAGGGGGGTGGATTTTAGTCAAAGCAAAGACCCTGGCCCCATCCCAGTTACCTGGGAAGCAGGACAGAAGTTGGAAGTGTCATTGGGGTTGTTGTAATCATACTCTCCAATGTCATCACTGTGATCCGAGGAGCTGCTCTGCATGGACATCCTCCACAGCTAAGGAGAAGACAGACAGTAACAGCTGGGCGAGACAGGCTAGATGGGCTATGCAACCCAACTGGGACAATCCAGCCATGTTCTCTCACCCCCAAAGGCACCCAGGTTCTCTCTTCTCCAAGCCTACTGCATCACCTGCTCTCACATCCTCCCCTCTTCGTCCCACACAAACAACCACAGCCTGCTAAGCGTCAGTGATGGACTCCTCTGTATTTAAGGGACCTTCTCTTGCCCAGCTTCTTCTATCACTATATGCCCCTGCTGGAGAACCTTGGGCCAGCAGCTAAACACCAGTAGGAGCCAGAGAGACCACACACCTTGACATCCGGCTTGAGGAAGAGCCTGGTGAGGCTGTTGGGGTCATAGTGGAAGTCAGCTGGGAGTGTCGTGCTCTTCTTGTTCTGGCTTTCAAGGACAGATTTGGCCATGGTGGTAGCTGCCTGTTGAAGGTCATTGCTGTGTTACACCAGGGCCAATTCCAGATCAAGTACCTCAAGCCTTGAGGAAATCCACCTCAGACCTCTCCCACTTCCCAGTATGTGGGAGCTCCAAGTTCTACCCTCAGCACTAAGTTGCTTGCACATCTAGAACTTTAAAAACAAAGGATGCAGAAGTGGATCCTCAAAGCTTCATGTTCCTCAGTAAAATAGGGGTAATTTAAGAGAAACCTTAAAACTAGCAGTGGTCCAACTACAAATTGAGGCTCTTATGAAAGGGAACAAAGTGGGGCACCATGGCATTATTAAATATGATATAAATAACCATGTTGACAAAGAGGTGAACACTAGGCCCCCTTCATTCCTGTTTGTCCTAGAAAGCTGTGCAAGAATAAGCTAGCTTCCACTTCATACGTATTTGCTAACTGTTTCTGAAGACACCCCCTCCCCCCTGCCAGAAGGCAAAATTGGATCTAAAATACTTCCTTTCTGGAGGGGAAAGATACCAGGAAGAAGCTAGTGTGGCTTTCAGACCCCACAGCTAGCCACACTTGTAAATTAACAAGCAATTAGAAAGTTCAGGGCTAGCTTTAGAGCCAGATTCTTAGTCTACAGGAGCTGTATGAAAGAAACCCTGAGGTTAAAAAAAAAAAGTCAGAAGCTATGCCCCACACTCGAGTCCAGCACATACCCTGGTCTCCTGGAAATAGGGTTCAAAGTTGACATCCTCATCAAAGTTGATTTCAAAGACTTTCTTGGCACTCTTCTTCCTGATCTCTTTATCAGCACCTGCCTCCACTACGAAGAAAAGGCAAGGGGGAAGTGGGGAAAGGGAGGTTGCAGGTCAGTTTTGGGTGCAGGAGAATTTAGACAGTTTGCGAGTACTGCTAAAAATTCTCTCACTGTTCCTCAGGGAAGGGTCAGGCAGAGGGAGATACTCTACACTCCTCCCCAGATGAGGAGAGCTTCTCTGCAATAGCAGGGAAACTAGACTCCAAAATGACATCAGCCTTTCTATTCTACAAGCAGAAAATTGCTTGATCTTGGGCATCTGAGGGTGGCTGTAAGCTACACTTGGATTCTGTATTTTCATGCCTCCAAATTCACTATTTGTTTTTGGAAGGCCAAATACAAGTTCTCTCCAGCATCATGGCCCGTTGCCTGACATATAACAAGCCCTCCTGGGAACACAGAGCATCCAGAAAGTGTGACATCCTGGGAGTGGCAGCAGGAACTTCCTGGTATTGCAGAACAGCAACCAGGCTAGACCCCAGACCCTTGTAAGAACAGCAGCAAAAAAATGTTGCTTACATGAAAGCATATTTATAGTAAAGATATTCCTATAAGTGTGTTGCCTGCTCCCTGGCAGAGATGCGTGGGTTCACACCTGTTGTGCCCCCAGGAGCCGACGATCCCCCACTGAAGAGCCAAGAGCTGGGCCGAGAGAGAGGGCAGGTGAACACAGGGACACTCGTAGGGAGCTGAGGGCGTGCCGGGCAGGACACACCAGCAAGATAAGCATCCAAGCGTTTCTAAATCAGATAGGTGCATTATTTGCTTCACTATATAAACACAATACTGGTCCAAATATTTACTACAGGCCAAACCAAGGGGAGGAGCTGGATCTGTAGTTCTCGAGAACTGACAGAAGCCATGCATGCAAGGGACTTGGTTGTCACAGGCGACTTCAATTACCCATAGATTGGAAGGAACACTTGGCTAGGTCAGATCATTCACAGTTTCCTGACCGTCTGTGATAGCAGAGCTCTTCCTGACCCAAGAAGTGTAAGGGCCAACTAGAGGTAATGCTCTCCTAGGCTTGGTCTTGGCCAAGGGAGATGATCCGGTGTGTGGCTTGAACATGGAGGGTAACCTGGGGGACAGTGACTATGAAATTATCAGATTTACTGTCTCCCGCAAGGTCGACAAATCAACCAGCAGGATTGAAGTCCTGGACTTCAAAAATGCTGACTTTGACAGGCTCAGAGAGTTAGTAAGGGAGGCAATGCGGGACCACGAAGGGAAGGTGAATGGGGTGCACAAAAAGTGGTCGTTGCTCAAGGATACAATACTCAAAGCACAAAAGAAGACCATTTCTGCAAAGAGGAAAGGTAGAAGGGCTGGCAAGCCCTCCTGGCTTAATAGGGACATTGCGGTCCTGTTAAAGAAAAAGGTGTATGCACAGTGGAATCTAGGGATGGTCCTCAAGGAGAACTATACAAAAACAGTGGCCAGTACTTGTAGGGAAGGTGACTGAGTTTAGGTTAGCCATGGGAGTCAAGGACAATAAGACGTCCTTCTTTAGGTATGTAGGCAGAAGGAAAACAAATGGAATTGTGGGACCACTGGCTGTCCCAAGGTGTTAAGCAGGAACCAACGTTCAGGAAAAAAACTGAACTCTTGAACGCCCACTTTGGTCTGGTGAAATACCGCAACAAGGGGAAACTCAAGTGAGATGAGGCTTATAGGGGAAATGCCAGGACTGACAGCCTCCCCACTGTGGATGCAATACCAACTAGAAAAGCTAGACATTTGTAAGTCAGCAGGGCCAGGTGGACTTCATCTGGAAGTGCTGAAGGAGCTGGCTGAACCCCTGGCAAAGCTCTTTCAGAATTCATGGCACACAGGGGAAATCCCTGAGGATTGGAAGAAGGTCAACATCGTGCCCATCTTCAAGAAGGGGAAGAAGGAGCACCCAGGCAACTATAAGCCAATCAGCCTAACCTCCAGCTCAGGGAAAATCCTAAAAAAGGTCATAAAAGAATCTGTGCATCTGTCATTCAGAATCTTACCTTCTGCAATATGCTTGCAGAAGGCAAGATTTTGAACGACAGCCAGCATGACTTTGTCACAGGTAGGTCTTGTCTCACCAATCTCATTTTCTTCTACGATCAGGTCTCTCGCCACCTGGATATGGGAGACTAGGTAGATGTTATACACCTAGACTTCCAAAAGATGTTTGGTCTAGTATCCCACGATACCCTTGTGGGAAAAACTGGAAGATTGTGGGCTCAGCTGCTCGACAGTTCAGTGGGCGGCAAACTGACTACAGGGTAGGACCCAGAGAGTTCTCTAGAGCTGATCTGTCATCCCAGTGCAAAGTGGCCAGTGGTGTCCCTCACGGGTCCGTGCTTGGACCGGTGCTTTTCAACATCTTTATCAATGATTTGGATGGGGGAGTGAAGAGTTCGCTGGCCAAGTTCACAGACAACACCAAGTTATGAGGCAGTGTGGTCATGTCAGAAGATAGGCTGCAGATACAGGTGGACCTGGACAGGCTCAAGAGTTGGAAGTGTTAAACTTCATCTGGTTCTGGTCTGCCCAAGTGTAAGGCGCTCCATCTGGGGGCAAACAACCCTTAGCATACATACAGGCTTGGTGGTGATAGCTTGACTTACACCACGGCCCAAAGGGACCTAGTGGTAATGATTGACCATCGCATGAATGAGCCGTCAGTGCAAGGCGGTGGTCAGCAGGGCAAATAACACGCTGGCATGCATCAACCGATGCATCTTGTGTAAAATTAAGGAAGTGATACTCCCGCTATACTCAGCACTGGTGAGACTGCGGTTGGAGTACTGCATCCAGTTCTGGGCAGTGCACTTCAATAAGGACATGGAAAAACTTGAGAGGATCCAAAGAGCCACCTGTATGATCAAAGACTTGCAAGGCAAGCGATATGAGGAAAGGCTGAGGGACCTGGGCCTCTTTAGACTAAAAAGAAGGTTGAGAGGGGACTTAATAGCGGCTTACCACCATAATCACAGAAGTGCATCAGGAGCTCAGTGAACAACTGTTCACTAGGGCACCCCCAGGGAAGACCGAGACCAATGGATACGAACTCCTGGAAGGCCGCTTCAGGCTTAATACCAGAAGAAACCCCTTCACAACCAGGGTGTCCAGACTGCAGAATAGACTCCCTCCAGAGGTGATGCAGTCACCTACCCTGGAGGTTTTCAAGAGGGTGACTGTCTAAGTCTCTCGCTGGGGTCACCTAACCCCAGTTGTCTTCCTGCCTAAAGCTGGGGGGCTGGACCAGATGATCTGCGAGGCCCCTTCCAGCCCCTAACAATCTATGAATCATACCATAAGCCTCATCAAGAGGCCCCAGACAGCAGGTAGGAGCTCACCTCACACTCAACTGTTTCAGTGGTTCCTCAGCCAAAAGCTACCATCTCATCAACAACTGAGGGAAGGTTAACATTGAACAGTATGTAGTAGAGATCACCTCCACTCTGCCACAATCACCCTAGTTGTGAAACCTTTTCATGGGCAAGAGGAGCTAGAAGAGCCATCATGTTCTCACACTGGTTAAAAGCCTAACTGGAGAGCAATGCTATGCCCGCACTCCTCATTCAGTGGCTAGGATGCCAGCCCTCCACAGATGCATAAGCTTGGGCCCAGATCCACAGTCTGAATGGCCTCCTATGGACATACGTACATTTATGACGAGGTTTGAATCTCCAGTGCTCTGGGCCAGCCCACATTGACATAATCTGGGGGCTGAAGTAAGAATATTCCCCTGGTTTCATGGAGAGCTGGAGGCACATGGTGGTGATGTCTCCCTCACCCAGAGGGATCACGTCCTTCCTGGAAAGAGAATGCAAGGTGATATGGTTAGAATACAGATAAGTCACTCCATTCAAAAGACACCACTGCCCAATGCAGGGGACAGCAGGACAGGCATATGCCTGCCAGACAAGATCTCATTCAGATATGGGCTGCTCCTCCCCATCACTGGCTTTCCCAAGTGTTAGCACAGACAAGCCTCAAAACATGCCCTGATTTTGGAGGGTTGATTTATTAATTATGTGGATGCCAGCATAGAAACTTCAAGCAAGTGTACAGACAACATGAAACTGGAAAGGATTGTGAACATGTTGGAGGATGGGAGCACAGTTCAGAAGGATTGACAGGTTAGAAAGCTGGGCTGGAGCTGACAAGATGAAGTTCAATGCTGATAAGACAAGGCACTGCACTGTGGGAAGAATAATCAAAACCCCAAAAATAAAGTGGGTGACACTTGGTTGGATGGCAGCTCTATGGAGAGGGATATGGGAGCCTTGGCAGACCACAGACTTGGTAGGAGTCTGAAGTGCAACACAGCTGCATAAAGGCCAATGCTCTTTTCATATGTACCTGATGTTTCTACTGATGCAAGTCATGGGAGGTAACTAATCGTGCCTCTAGTCTGCACTGGTTAGACCTCATCTGCAGTACTGCATGCAGTTCTGGGCTCCACATTCTAAAGAGGACATGGAACAGTTGGAGAGGGTCCAGGGGCAAGTGGCAGAGGATTGAGGGCTTGGAAGGCAAGTCATACCTAGCTCCTTCAGACTCTCCTTGTATGTTCAGCTTGCAGACAAGGCAGTTGAGAAAACATGATAGCAGTCTTCAAAGACTTGAGGGACTGCCATAAAGAAGAGGGGGAAAAAAAACCCTCTCTCTTGCTGCAGAGGAGGACATGGACCGATGGCTGGAAGTGGCAGCAAAAGATTTAGACTGGATCTCAGGAAAAGCTTCTTCCCTGGTAGAGCAGTGAGGGAGTGGAATAGATGCCCAGGGGAGCTGTGGACTCTCCTTCACCAGAGGTGTTCAAGAACATTGGACAGGCACCAACTGGGGACAGGTGCCAACTAGATGTAGCTATGCTTATGCTCCACTATAGGGCTTTCCCAGTATTTTGGGCTTTGCTGGTTGCCACATGAGGCTGAGGGGGGCTCTGCCTCCACAATCCTGCTGCTGCATGCATCAGAGGCCTTAAGCCTACCTCAGAGGCATCAAGCAGGTCCAAGGAGGTGATCCTCCCCCTCTACGCCACACTGGTCAGGCTGCAGTTGGAGTACTGCGTCCAGTTCTGGGCACCACACTTCAGGAGGGATGTGGACAACATGGAGAGGGTCCAGAGGAGGGCCACCCACATGATCAGGGGTCATCAGGGCAGGCCCTACAAGCAGAGGCTAAGGGACCTGAACCTGTTCAGTCTCCACAAGAGAAGGCTCAAGGGGGATCTAGTGGCCATTTACAAACTAGTCAGAGGGGACCACCAGGCATTGGGGGAGTCCCTGTTCCCCCAAGCACTACCAGGAGTGACTAGAAATAACGGTCACGAGCTGGCAGAGGGTAGATTCAGACTAGACATCAGGAGGCACTACTTCACTGTCAGGGCGGCTAGGATCTGGAACCAACTTCCAAGAGAAGTGGTGCTGGCTCCTACCCTGGAGGTCTTTAAGAGAAGACTAGATGAACACCTTGCCGGGGTCATTTGACCCCAGTACTCTTTCCTGGCATGGCAGGGGGTCGGACTTGATGATCTGCTCAGGTCCCTTCTGACCCTACCAACTATGAAACTATAAGTGTTGGTTGCGGCCCAACCTGGGGATGACTACTGGGCTGTGCCAATGCTCCTGCTGAGACTTAAAGCCAGAAGGTCTTGCCCCTCTACTCAGGGTTAGACCAATGCCAGATTTGAGGTAAGGAAGAAATTTTACCCCATGGTCAGATTGGTACGGACTGGGGAGAAGTGGGAAGACTGCCTTCCCAAGAAGAAGGCCATGCAATCCACTACAGACTATTTGGAGGGTATTTAACAATCTCTGCAGTAGCTGGACATTGGGTACCATGGTCCCCTTCTTCCCTCATAGCAGGTTTTCATGTGATGTCTCATGTTGGGTCAGGCGTAACTGTAGTTTTGTTAAGAAGCTGGCCAATGGATTTGGACAGGATGGTTTGGATACAGGCGATCCTGCCTTAGGCAGGGGTTGGACTAGATGACCTCTCAAGGTCCCGTCTAGCCCTTTGTCTCCAATTACTGGGGCCATGTGTGTATCATGTGAGTACATGTGGTAAAGGCATTTTAAATGCATAGGGTATTTAAAGCATTTCAGAGGCTGGGAGGAGCCTTTTGAGGAGAAGGCAGCACAGTTGAATATGGATAATGCAAACAGGGTATTCTCTCTCCAGCAAGTCACCAAGGCTCATTCCTTGAGCAAGAAATCCCTATGACCTACAGTCTAACAATGCTACCCTTTCAAACCACTCACTTGGTGCCTTCATGTGCCATCTTGAAGGCCTCAGGATCCTGTGCAAACTTGCCCATATCTCCTGCCATAGTCTTGTCTAGCAGGTCTGCATCAAAGTCATCCATCACAGGGGCATCAGCACAGTCCTCAGGCTCATCCTCCACGTCAGCGTTGACATTGAACACCTGGTCACTCTTCTTGAATTTTTCCAGCAGAGCCGACACCGACTGCAGCCCAGGAACAGCAGCCAAAAGCAAGAGGAAAAGAGCATGAGAGGGGAAAGAGCGATAAGTTACATATTCCGAGACAGGATTCGATACCAGGTCACATGGACTTCCGAGGTAGGGCACTGTTAAAACATGTGCTTAACACCACAAGCCACGACAGCCAAGGCTGGTGACAAACTGATTTTCAAGTGGTCCAACTACAGAAAGGTGGCTAATGCAGGCAACCTCAAAGCCTGCTTCCGAAAGATTTGAGCAAGGCTTTGTGGATGTTACAAGCAGCCCAGTTAAGTAGAACAGAAGCAATGAAGGCACCAGCTAAAAGCAGTGGTGCATTCATTCACATTAATGAATGATCACATTAAATGATTACATTAAACTGAGCAGAAAGCCCAAGAGGAGGCATTATACAAGAAGACCTTGAGATCTTCACAGTGTATCTAAGGGTGTATTTGTGGTTTTGGCTTAAGAATAGCAAATCACAACTGATCTAACTTATGTACTAGATGTGTTTTTGCTGTTATAGCTAAACTTGTATTTATTAGCATTCCCCCACGCCGCAAAAAAAATCAGCCCTTTAAAATGGAGGTGCCTTAAGCAGGGAATCTGATGGTCTTTGCTGAAATAGAAATATGGAAACACTGTGCTGCAAGATGGCTGCCAGCTTCTGTCAGGCAGCAAGTTGGGGGCGGAGGGGGGGGGGTCCTAGAGTTAGCCCTTTCAGAGCCACTCAAATTGGAAATAGGTTTTTGGCCCTCTTGCCTGCTGTCCCACAAAGCTGGCAGCCATCTTGCAGCACTGCCTCTCCATGGTGGGGTAGGAAACAAACCCACCACCAAAAAAAATAGTTGGGGGAAGAAATCCTTTCCTCCCCTACCTTCTGCCTTCCAAAAAAAGGAAGTGCATTGTATTTGAGAGCAAGAAATCCACAGTCCCTTCCCACTTCCCTCTTTTCTTAGCGAAGTGGTTAAAGAGACTTGTGAGGAAAAGCTGTAACAAGGCAAAAGAAAATAGAACAATGGCAAGCCAATTCTAAAGTGGTGACGGGAGAACCCCATTTTCCACTCTGAGCCATTCCAAGCAGCTTGAGTTGGTCTGAGACCCAATCCCTCAAGGACACAGAGCAAACATGGCCTATAGTCCCCCAGTGAACTGATGCAGAAAAAAGTTCCCCATTTTCTCACCCCAAAGAGGCCTTTCATAGGAACAGAGGAGTCCGGCTGGAAGGGACCTCCAGAGGTCACTGTCTAAACCCCTGCGTGAAGGGGATAAGCTCTGTGCAAACTCTGGTAGACTACGGCTCACGTGGGGCATGAACGACTCCCAACAACTCATGTGCCTCAAACTCACCTCGTTGTGAGATTCGCTGTCCCATTCGTTGAACCGGAGGCTAGTAAGGGAAGGGCAGATGGGACGGTTCTCCATGCACTTC